AGGGGGAAAAGGGAAGGAGGAAAAGGGGGAAAAGGGAAGGGGGAAAAGGGAAGGAGGAAAAGGGGGAAAGGGGGTGGAGGAAGGGGGAAAAAGAGAAGGAAGAAGGGTGAAGAGGAAGAGGGGGAGAAAAGAGGAGGAAGGTGGGGAAGGAGGGAAAGAGGAGGAAGAGCAGGAAGGGGGAACAAAGAGGAGGAAGGGGGAGAAGGGGGGAAAAAGAGAGGGAAGAGAAAGAAGGGGGGGGAAAGAAGAGGAAGGGGAGAGGGGAAAAGGGGAGGAAGAAGGGGGGAAAGAGGAGGAAGAAAAGAGGGAAAGGGGAGGAAGAGGAGGAAGGAGGGGGTGCGAAGAGGAGGAAGGTGGGAATAAAGAGGAGAAATGGGAATGGGAGGGAGCCGGGAGCCAGCGCCACCCCGGCTGTCACCTCTCTGTCACCTCTGTCACCTCTCTGTCACCTCTGTCACCTCTCTGTCACCTCTGTCACCGGTTGGAGGGGGAGGGGGGCAGAGCCGGGGAAAAGGGGCTTTTTTTTGGCAGCTCCGTCCTCAGGGATGGGATTGGAGCTCCAAATCCTGCCTCCAGATTCCTTAGGGATGGGATTGGAGCTCCCAATCCCGCCCGTTCCCAGATTTCTTTAGGGATGGGACTGGAGCTTCACATCCTGCCCGTTCCCAGATTCCTTTGGGATGGGACTGGAGCTTCACATCCTGCCCGTTCCCAGATTCCTTTGGGATGGGATTGGAGCTCCATCCTGCCCGTTCCCGGATTCCTTAGGGATGGGATTGGATCTCCATCCTGCCCGTTCCCGGATTCCTTAGGGATGGGATTGGATCTCCATCCTGCCCGTTCCCGGATTCCTTAGGGATGGGATTGGATCTCCATCCTGCCCGTTCCCGGATTCCTTAGGGATGGGATTGGATCTCCATCCTGCCCCCTCTCCATATTCCTCAGGGATGGATCTGGATCTCCATGTCCCGTCCCCCCAGCCCAATTTTCCAAGCCCACCCCTCCCCGGGCCGTGACGTCATTCGGTTCCCGGGGGGGGGGGAAACTTCCCATCTCTTTTCACCCCAATTTAACCCAAAAGGCTTCGTTATTCCCGGCGGGAATTCCCGGCCCTTCCCGGCACTCACCGCCCCGTAGAAGGTGGGGGTGAGGTCTGGGACGAACATCTCGGGGTAAACGTTCTGCAGGTACCACGTGAAGTTCCGGCACTGAAGCCGCTCCCGCAGCCGGAGCCGCTCGGTGATGTCACCGAACGACTTCTGGTGGGGCAGAAAATCGAGGAAAAAAAAAAAAAAAACCAACAAAAAATCCTTTATCCCCCTCAAAATCCTTTATCCCCCCAAGCTGAGGGTCACCCCAGTTTCTCCATCGTCCCTCGTGGCACCCCAAGAGCTCGGAGGTGTTTTGGTGTTGTAAAAATAAAATAAATTCTATTAAAAAAATCGATGTTCTGTGGATGGAGCCACGGGAGAAAATTAAATTAAAGTGATCTCTGAGAACAGCAAAGAAATAAAACCCCAAAATCCCTTCCCCCCCAACAAGCTGAGGGTCACCCCAGTTTCTCCGTCGTCCCTCTTGGCATCCCAAGGGCTCGGAGGTGTTTTGGTGTTGTAAAAAAAACCAAAATTATTTCTATATATATAAAAAAAACCCGATTTTCTGTGGACGAAGCCACGGGAAAAAAATTAAAGCCACCTCTGCTGCTCCCCAAGAGCTCGGAGGTGTTTTGGGGACGACAGGTTTGGTGTTGTAAAACAAACAAACAAACAAACAACAAAAAAACCCCCACCCAACCCATTTTAATGAAAAAAAATCGTTGTTTTTTTTCCTCTAGATGACGCTCCGGCCAAACATTAAACAAACAAACAAACAAACAAACAAACAAAAAACCCAAAACCAAACTAAAACAAAACAAAAAACCCCACAACCATTTTTATGAAAAAAATCGTTAAAAAAAAATCAAAAATCAAAAATTAGCTTTAATCAAAGCTCATTATTAAAAAAAAAAATTAAAAATATTAAAAATAAATTTAAAAATGTTAAAAGTAAATTGAAAAATATTAAAAATAAATTTAAATATTAAAAATAAATTTAAAAATTATTTTAAAACGGTTAAAAAAAAATAGCTTTTTGGCTACCTTCAGCAGGTGTGTGTGTGTGGGGGGGGGGGTTCACTCCCTCCCATTCCCTCCCAGTAGAACCAGTCGAACCAGTAACCCCTCCCCAGCACCTCTCTGGCCATCTGCGCAGCCTGCTGGTTCCGGCGGTAGAAAATCTCTTTGTAATCGTCCATCCACACCTCGGCCAGGCGCACCTGGTTCCTGGAGATCACCTGCGTGCCCCGCGGGAAGGTGTGCGGGCTCTTGGAGCGGAACACGTGGCCCACCACGGAGCAGGGGATGATTTCCACCTGCCCCCCGCACTGCCAGACCTGCCGGAGGGACCCCCCCCATCTCTAATTAATCATAATTAATTCTCGGATCGGCAGCTTTAAATGGGGTGGCTTCAGTATATTGAATTATTTACGCCTGCTCCCTGCACTGTCAGACCTGAGGGAGGGGCCCTGGAGCTCGAATTAATAATAATTAATTCATCCCCACGTATCTAATTATTATTGTTATTATTATTATTATTATTATTATTTACAAATAATATATATAATATTATATATAATATAATATATATAATATAATATATAATATATAAATATATAAATATATAATAGAATATATATAATATATATAATAGAATATATACTATAATATATAAAATAATGTATAATATAATAATAATATTCTATAATAATATTCTATAATAATAATATTCTATTATATATTTATATATTTATATATTTATATATTATATATTATACTATTTATATTATATATAATATTATATATATTATTTGTAAATATAATAATAATAATAATAATAATAATAATAATAATAATAATAATAATAATAATAATAATAATTTCCAGAAAATTCATAAAGGTAATACACCCATTAAACAAATACATAATAATAACTATAATAATTATAAGGATAAATCTAATAAATAGTAATAAAATATAATTAATATAAGAATACATGTTTTAAGTAAATAAAAAAATAAATAAAAAATAAATGCAATAAATATAAGAATAAATATAATAATAATTAAATAGCATAAATATAAGAATAAATATGATAAATTAATAATAAAAATAAATATGATAAATATAAGGATAAATATAATAAATAATTAATAAATATAATAACTATTATAATAACTGCAATAATAAATAAATACAATAAATATATACAATAAATAAAACAAATAAATAATAAATAAATATAATTAATATAATCATAAAATACGTAATGATTGTTATTTTAAATAATAAATTAATAATTTTTAAACTGTTTAAAATAAATAAATAAATAAATAAATAAAAAATCGTTCTCCCCGCCCCAAACCCTCACCCTAAAGGACATTTCCACGTTCTCCCCGCCCCAAATCTCCATCTGGTCGTCGTAGGAGCCGATGTGCTCGAAGTAGGACCTGGAGATGGCGAAGAGGCCACCGGCGAAGGTCGGGGACCTGCGTGGGGACGACCCCAAAAAGGGTTAAAATCCACATTAAAAAAAGGGCAGAAATCCGAATTTTGGGACACGAAAAAATTCGGTGTCATCCCAGGCCAGACCGGGAGGGGAAAAGGGACATCATTCCCAAAAAAACTGTTCCCAAAAAGGGGGGGGAAAGATCCGAGCCCCCTGCCCCGGCCCCTCCTCCCAAATCCCTTTTTTTTTTTTTTTTAAACTCACTTTTAATCGGGAAAAAAAATAAGAATTCCAAAGGATTTTTTGGGCTGACGGAGACGAGACAGAGCAGGGAGAGACACCGGGAGGGGAAAAAAGGGAGGAAAAAGGGACTTTTTTTTTGGGACGGGGAACCTCTCGCGGGTGGGAGAGGTGGG